GGCATTACAACTCACAGCAACCTCCAACTCCTGGGCTCAAGCGAGTCTCCTGTCTCCGCCTCCCAAGTAGCTGGGATCACAGGCGCCCGCCACAACGCCCGGCTATTTTTTGGTTGCAGCTGTCATTGTTGTTTTGGCGGGTCCGGGCTGGGGATTTGAACCCGCCACCTTAGGTGTACATGGCTGGCGCCCTAGCCCGTTGAGCTATAGGCGCTGAGCCGCTTTCTTTTAATTTATAAAACAAATTACTGTGTGGAAGTCTCCCCTTCTGATGGGCACAATGTCACTTATAAACTGCACGTGAGTGACCCAACAGGTGACCCAAGACTACCTGGGCAGCACTGCAGGATCCAAACAAGGTCTTGGGGCCCTGCAGGGACCCGTCAGGAGGAGGGGGCTGTGGAAGACAGTTGGCTATTCATGCCTGGGGCCCCTTCCTCTGTTCCCCACAACCCCTCAGACCAGGGACTGGCCTCCTGGATGTCACCATGCCAGGCTGGGCCACCTGGCAAGATCCAGTGGCTGACCCAGGGCCCTGCTCTGCAGTTCCTACCTCAGTCCTTGCTGTTAAGTTCTACCGGTTGGAATTGGGGTGTTGGTTGGAGGGTATCCCCAAGCTCTGCGAACACAGCTATGCTGCCCTGAAACCCAAGTTGGGTGGGGGGCAGATACCTGCATCGCCCAGCAGGCCTTTGGCAGCTGAGATGAGGGGTCAGAAGAGCACCTGGTGTTCTCATCCCAGCACTCCAGGATCTGGGGGTACGAATCTACCACATCCTGTTCAGTGCCTGGCATGGCCAGTACTCTGAGAACCTGAGTGTCGGGAGATGGAGGCAGGACCTGACAGCATCAGCCTCCTTGCTTTTTTTTTTTTTTTTTTACTGTTACCTCCTCTGCCAAACACCAACTCCCAGGAGGAGTGAGGCAGCCCTGGCATGGCACTTGGGCCTCACACCACCCTCAAGGAGGCTCGGGGCCTCTGTGCCCAGGCCAGGGCGACGGTGCCATTTCCATGTGCACACACTAGATCTGGCTCAGAGGGACAAGGGGCCCTGTCATGGTACAATGTGACCCCCTCTCCCAGGGGAGCTCAGAAGATGGCTCCTGCCACACCTGATGTGAAGAGCTTACTGAAACCCCAGTAACTGACTTTCTAGAGAGCCTTTAGTTTAGCTCTGTGCAGCTGTCCCTTCCCCTGGGAGGATGAGGGAGTGACAGGTGTGACTGTCAGTGCAGGTGTGTGCTACCAGGAAGGTCAGCATGACCGTCGGTATCCTAGATTCACTGTCTGACTTTAAGGCTGGAGTCCGCCATACACATATCTTTTTAAAATTTCCCAATTCTGAGTATTGTATTACTGATAAAAATATTTTCCAAAAATCTAATACATAACACAAGACATCATGGAGGCACTGCTCAGTGTTTTCAGAAATATATTTTGTGCAGATTTCGTTTTCAATTTTTCTCTTTTTGGTCTACTGGTGCTTTGGTAAGCAATGTTTTAGAATCTCTATAATCCAATTTCCCTCCTCAGTCCCACGAGCCGGTCAGGACCAGTGCTGCCCATCTGGTTAAGGTGTCATCCATCCTCAGACCGAGGCGGCCAGCCACACGCTCGGTGGGAAAATACTTGTTAAATATTAACAACAGGAACTTACCGGGCTTTAGAAAATGTTCCGAATCCATAAAAATTCTTCGTTGCAGTGTGTCCCTGTAGGCACTTAAACCCCTGCCCCCACCCCACACTCTGACTGCTCATAAACATGGCTCCTCCTCACATGTGGGTGCGTCTGGGACGGGGCAGGTGCCACTCACGGAAAAAAGGCATCAGAGGGAAGCTTCGACATCACCGGTACATTTTATTCCTCGGGACATTACAAGCTAACTTTCCTGGTGGAGCAGGTCAGTGCATCGAGTTCTGTTTTCTGCCGAAAATGTGCACCTTCAAAACTGTGTGACAGCGCCCTCTGACAGGGTCACCTTGGGTCCTCCGAGACACAGGCACAGGCAGCAAATTCCTCCAGCACTAAGCCAGCCTGTCCGGGCCCAGATTCGAGAGAATGTTCTGCTCCGAGAAGTGCCCGCTGGACGCTTCCCTTTGTGGCCTCAGAGGCACGCGTCCCTCCCAGGCTGCCCTTGGAGCCTGTGCCCAGCCTGGCATGCATATGCTGTGGTTAAGGGTAAAGTTAAAGGGTCAGTCACGTGCGTCCACGACACAGACGCATGCCCTCACACGGACTCCTCGGTGGACAGCAGTAATGGGTTGATGTACTCAAAGCCTTCAAACTCAGACTGGTCGATTCTCTTGATGACGTCCCTGCAAGCAAAGTGAGACAGAGGAAGAGCGGGAGCCGGGGCTTGCTCCCCTTCCGCACCTAGGGCCGACTCCTACCATAGGGCTACAAGCTGGACAGTTGTCCAGCAGCCCAAGGTGCTGGGCCTGCATGGGGCTCTCCTTAGATGCTCTGCCTGGGCATTTGATGGTGAGGGATAGGACGCCCTAGACGCTCCCTAGACGCTCTGCCTGGGCATTTGACAGTGAGGGACAGGACGCCCTAGACACTCCCTAGACGCTCTGCCTGGGCATTTGACAGTGAGGGACAGGACGCCCTGACCCTCACCTGGCCCCCAGCCTACAGACTTACTCGTCATCGGGAGTCAGCTGCACGGGCTCGCTGGTGAACTGCGTGTCAAAGTTGTCCAGTCCATAGTCGTCGGTTATCTGCGGCTGAAAGGGAGGGAGGGCCTGCTTCTTCTCCAGCTTGGAAAGACAATGTGAGAAGGGGCAGCTCAGCACAATGCACCAGTCAGTTTTTTGCATGTACTTAAATCAAATAGGAAGAAACAGCATCTCCTACCTCGGATTTAAATGCCAATTTTTTTCTTAAAAATGCAGAACATAACCACAGTCAGAAAAATTCTACTTGAGCTGAGTGTGGGGACTCACACTTATAATCCCAGCACTCTGGGAGGCCGAGGCAGGAGAATTACTTCAGCTCAGGAGTTCAATATCAGCTTGAGCAAGAGAGAGACCCCATCTCTACTAAAGATAGAAAAACTAGCTGGGGCTGAGTCCCGTAGCACAGTGGTTACGGCGCCAGCCACGTGCACTGAGGGTGGCAGGTTCAAACCCGGCGCAGGCCAGCTAAACAACAGCAACAAAAAAACAGCTGGGCGTTGTGGCAGGTGCCTGTAGTCCAAGCTACTTGGGAGGCTGAGGCAAGAGAATCGCTTAAGCCCAGGATTTGAGGTTGCTGTGAGCTGTGTCGCCATGGCACTCTACTGAGGGTAATATAGTGAGACTGTCTCAAAAAAAAAAAAAAAAGAAAAAAAGAAAAAGAAAAATTCTACTTGAGCTGAAAAATGCCTGAAGTGCAGGCTGTGCTGGCCGCATCTCAGGGATGACACAGGAACCTTGGCCACAAAGCCTCCATGACATCCTGGGGTCTGTGCCTGGAGTGGCTACTGCCACTTAACCAGCCAAACACATCTGGGGCCCTGATCAGAAAGGTGCTGGGACTCAAGCCAGGGCACCCTGCCCACACTGGTGCTGGATGAACCCCACGGAGGCCCTGCCCACAGATGGCTCCTGCTGCCAGAAGAGGCCTAGGGGTGGATACCCTCTCCTGCCCCATGAGGATACCACACCTCTCAGCACCTTGACCTCAGACTCCTAGCCTGTGGCAGTGAGTCCAACTTCTGCTCTAAGGTGCCCAGGCCCAGGTGTCCTGGGTCAGCACCCAGGATGGCAACACTTGCTCTTATATCCTGGGTGCAGACCCTGCTCCTGTAATAGGACTGCTCGTTCTTCAACTGAGGCTGACCTGTGAGGAGGGACTCCGCCCCACCTGTAGAGCCACTGCCAAGCACGCTGGAGGGCAGGAGGACGTCACATCCAGTCAGCTGCCTTCCATGCCAGCCACACCAGGCTGGATAGTAAGTGCAGACCAGAGCAGCCTAGTGCCTGCTATGTCACCAGGTCGCCTGGGGGCTGCCACCTGCCCTCTGGGGGACCAGAGAGAGCTCTAGCTCTGACATGCCCCACCTGTGTGGCCATCCCTGTCCAAGAAACTGGACCAGGGTATGGCCCTGCCTGGCAGGGGAAGAGGGCCCAGGACATCAAAGGGGCTGTGGTCTGCCTCTGCTCCCCAGCCTGCCACTCCACGTTGGGGCCTGGAGTGGTCACAGATACCAACTACAACAAAAACCAGACTGGGAATGGAATATTTTAAAAAATCCCTTTTTAAAGACCTATAAAAGAAACATAAATTCTACTAATGACATCGGTAGAAGAAATTAGGATATTACAGAAATAGACAAATTCTCCCCAAATAAGGCTAGGTCAGGTATGTGGTGCCTGAGGGGCTACATCACCAGCAGCCTCCACGGCCAGGTCACCAGGGGGAGGGTGACACCATTTGTTTTCTACCGTTGACATGATGCCAGAGCAGAGGAGGGATGGGGCTGTCCTGGCAGGCAGAGCAGTGTGTGGAGCACCCTGTGGGGCAGGGTAGGGGCTGGGTGAGGGCAGGCCACACCCCAGGCAGGGCTGTGGGGACACAGATGTTCCCTTCCTTCACAAGTGATCTGTATTTTATGTCAGTATGAAATATCTTCTGATGAAGAGTGAAAAAGGAGGCTGGGCATGGTGACTTGGCCCCATAATCCTAGTACTTTAGGAGGCTGCTTGAGCCCAGAAGTTCAAGACCAGCCTGAGCAACATAGCGAGATCCTGTCTCCATAAAAATTTTTTTAAAATTAGCCCAGAGGCTGGGCGCAGTGGTTCATGCCTGTAATCCCAGCACTCTGGGAGGCTGAGTCAGGTAGATTAACTGAGCTCAGGGGTTTGAGATCAGCCTAAGCAAGAGCAAGACCCCATGTCTACTAAAAATAGAAAAATAAACAGCTGTGCATGGAGATACATACCTGTAGTCCCAGCTACTGCGGAGGCTGAGGCAAGAGGATTGCTCAAACCCAGGAGTTTGAGGTTGCTGTGAGCTATGATGCCACAGCACTCTACCCAGGGTGACAGAGTGAGACTGTCTCAAAAACATACCCCCAAACCAAAGAATTAAAAAAAAACAAAAACCAGCCGGTGTGGTGGTGCATGCCTGTGGTCCCAGCTACCCAGTGTGAATAGCTGTGATGCGTTACCAGATCCCAGTCTATGCTGCGGAAGAAGGCGTGAGACTTGATGTCAGAAAATCCAGTTTGTGGCCGGCAGCCAAGCCTCTCTTTGGGGTCCTGGGGGTTAGAGTGCAAATAAGGACAAGTCAGCCCCAAGCAAAGAAGCCCCTGGTTTGTGCCCCCTTGGCAGGGAGACCCTGCTCCCACCCGGGAAGGCCTAATGCTCTGACCTGCCTGGTGACACTCATTCCCTTTACTGGAAACTCATTCCCCCAGCGTTAAGCTTCTTCATTCAGTTCTTCTTGGGCATAATTTCTCATTATTTTATTTAGTTAAGTATGAATAAAAATGGATGATTTCTAGAATGCAGGACTCAAATAGAGAAGCAGAAATTTAAACCTGCTCACTGGATATGTGACGGGTGAACCCCTTCCCTGCCAACATGGTTAAGAAAAAGCTCTTGAAACCACAAAGACCACACTTGTCACCATGGCTGAAGGCGAGTACCTTATTCAAAAATCCTTTTAAAACATGGGAGGCTTTGACGGAGAGGAATCGCGGGATCCGGATCGGCTTCTCCAGGATGACTACAAGGACAGGAGCCTGGTAAGAACACGGCTGTGTGCATCCGCTTTGCCCAGTGGCCTGCCGGGCCCCCTGACTTGTGACCCTCGAGCTCCCTATCCATACCCCTGCAAGATCCACGACCCCAAGACCTGCCAAGTCCTCCCTGGGGCCTCCTGGGTACACGTGGCTGCATGTTTTGTGTGACTGCACAAAAGCCCCCTCCGTCCGCTGTCACAGATACATGGACGCCCCTGCACACTGGCCACCAGAGGGAACCTCAGGGGCAACCAGGACCCCACGTCCCAAAGGGGCCCTGCTCTGGGAACAGGTGTCTGGCTAGGCACAGCCCTGCCCAGCGCAGAGAGCGGGGACTAAATCAGATGGGCTCTCTTTCCCCAGACCCACAGTGGGGGAGTTCCATTGCCCCACTGCACGGCCACCCTCTTCCCAAATATCTCGAGGGGCTTTCCATAGACTGCACCTGCCAGCCTGGGCCCTGCCCACAACTTGGGGAAGGGAGAAGACACACCTCCAAGGCAACGGGGCGCTGAACACACAGGTCAGCCACGCACCTTGGAAAAGGTAGTCTTCTGTGTTCATGTCTGGGTTGTCGGTGATGATGTCAAACGGAGAGCGTCCCGCCATCATCTCAAACATGAGGACCCCCAGTGCCCACCAGTCCACGCTGAACCCTGGGGGGGAGCACATAGCTGTCATGCTGGACATGTAGCTACACGGGCCGAGGCAAGGCCAGCCTGTGTTTGGTGAGCTTGGGCAGGTGGGGTTGACGTGAGTGTAATTAGCACAGAGGGTGCTACAAGCGCCAGGCAATGGTGTGCAGCACAGCCAAGTGCCAAGGCTGGGTCCCTGTGCCTTGGGGATGGGCCTGGTGCCTCCTTCTGGGTGGCCTGGCCTCCCCTTCTTTCCTGCTACAGAACTGTTCTAACTAACCACTGGGTAGGTTTCTGGGTGTCAGTGGGCCTCTGATTCTGCTTGGAGCATCTCTGCCCCCACCCTCCATACATATGTAAAACTGACCTTCTGCACATCTGCTTTAACGTGATTAGCTTGAGATGACAAAAATAATTTCCCGTATTTTCTTTCTTTCTTTCTTTCTTTTTTTGCAGTTTTTGACCAGGGCTGGGCTTGAACCCGCCACCTCTGACATATGGGGCCAGCGCCCTAGTCCTCTGAGCCACAAGCGC